TGCAGGTGCCGAGTGGTGTGGGAAGGGGCAGGATGCTTGCATCGTCGCCATGGCAATGATGCAGGCATTCTGCACTGCCCCAGCCGCTCTGGGCCTCTGGGCAGCATAGGAAGGCAGAAAGGCAGCTCTGGGTCAGAGAGAAGGTGGTCGCGGCAGCCAGGAGAAGGAAGGCCCACTCTTGCACAGATCTATATGGAGAGAGAGAGAGAGAGAGAGAGAGAGAGAGAGAGAGAGAGAGGAGAGAGAGAGAAAGAGAAAGAGGAGAGTGAAAGTAAAAGAGAGAGAGAGGAGAGACAAAGAAAAGGAGAGAGAGAAAGAGAGAAAGAGAAAGAAAGCTCAATCTCTGATGACTCTTCTTATAAGACTCCACTCTTAGTACCTCATTTAACTTTAACTACTCAGAGGCCCATCTCCAACAACACTGGAAGTTAGGTGATCAACAGATTAATTTTGGGAAAACACAATCTTTTTTTGAGAATGAGTAAGGCCACTTCATTTGGAGCTCAATACCAGCAAGATTCTTGCATTACACCTTAATGGAAATTCTCTGGAAGATTTATCTAGAAGCGTTATACAAAGTTAACAATTTAATCTATATATTTTATGTTTATATTCTTATTTAATTATGAGTTTAGGAGAAGAACACTAGTCTCAGGCTTTTATAATATTAACCAGTATAAGTAGGTTGAATTGCAATTATAAATAAACTTGAGCATCTTAGAGGTTTAAACGCAAACAAGTTTATTCCTCATGTAGGCAAACTCCATGTAAATCAGGCAGCCCTTCTCCGTCTTGTAGCTCTGCCATCTGGCACAAGTGACTTCCAAGCTGGCACATAGGGCAAGTTTATCAGTATTTTACAAGGTTGGGCCTGGAGGTGGCTTACATCTTCAGCACATGACATTCCATTGCCCAGAACTTAGTCACATGGCCATAGCCCAATTATAAGGGAGCAAGAGGGCTGTAATTTCCCATAGGTGGATAGAAAAAAAATGTGGTAAACATATAAAATTGTATTAGCTATAGCTTCCTAAACCATTGACCAGGAGATTCAGGCAAAAATGAGATCTGGTGCTTATGAATGGCTTAACCTGTATATAGTTCTTAGAAGAGTTTGTAGGTCATAGAAGTTGCCTAATATCTGTGTCCAAATATCTGTGTAACTTCCAGCCTCATTATGAATGTTGACAAATATAAAAGGTAAATAATGCTGCAAATGCAGTTTTAAGTTACTGCTTCCTGCATTCAATAATTGCTTAAGGTTTTTTTTTTAAAAGAGATACTATAATAGTGAACAAAAGGCCTGTATATTAAAACGATCATGTGCTCAATGGTTCTCACATTAGCCAGTGAGAACCATTGACAAATCACCAACTATTTCTTAAATAGACTGCTTAAATACATGGAAATATTAACAAATGTTACTTTTTTTTGTCAACATATTTTTATCAGATAACAAAATTTAACTTCAACATGAATTTTTAATGTCTCCCCATGTATCCTCTTGAAAATCTGCATTTTCTAAGAAGAGGGGGGCATAATGGAGCTTGCAGTCAGAATTGAGTTGAGGAAACAAAGAATTGTGATCTGCAGGGCCCAGAAAAGCCAAGTAGTTTATGTTTTATTATTATTATTATCATTTTTAAAATTTTAGAGTTGAGATGCAAGTCCCAAGGAGGTAAAGTGACCTTTCTATATTTTCATGAAATTTTTGCATTTTATTTGAGGATATGTTCTAGTGGGTGATCATCTACAGACAGATTTTCATTTCTATGTTTAATCCAATGACTCATAAATCTTTATCTCCAGTCCAGACCTCTTTTCTTAGCTCCAAACCTGCATATCTAATGGTCTCCTCAAAAATTGCATTAGAATTCTTACTGACATCCCATGTCAGGGCACATGAATGGGTTGTAGGCTTTATCACTAGTAGGGGGTGTGCAGGAGGCAGCTGATCAATGTTTTTTGTACATCCGCGATACTGCTATCTCTCTCCCTTTCTCCTTTCCTCTTTCTGATATGAAGTAAAAAAAGTCGCCCCCCGCCGCGTGGGGGGAGAAGGAGGAGGTGGTAGTGGAGGAGGAGGAGGAGGAGGAGGAGATGTTAAAGAAGGAGAAGGAGGAGGAGGAGGAGGAGAAGGACCACCACCACCACCACAACCACCACAACAACAACAACAGCAACAACAGCAAAAACCCACACAGGAGAAAATAACCTTAGACCAGAGCTGGAGAGGAAATGAAAAATCGAGTAGGAG